TACGAGATCATTCAAGGTAAAAATATTAGATCATGTTAGGTGTCAACGAAGTGGTTTTGACTTGTGTATTTGCCGTTGAGTTGTGATTGACTCACAGATGACTCTCTAGCAGATTTTTAGCTGTAAATCAGGCAAGAATTTGTCCATCTTTCTCCTTCTAGCAGCTGATGAATTAGAATTTCTTGCCTTTAGATCAGAGTGAAGCTACCTACATACAACAGAATGCAACAATGCTTTCAGACCTGTGCTACCCTTAGAATCACATTTCATTTGAGCTCTCTGTTGCAGCCATGGTGTCAACCATCTCATTAAGGGTTGTTCCTCTTTTTTCGTCAACCCTCTTACTTTACTAAGCATGATACTCCTTTCTCCAAGTCCAAAGTGTGTGAGATGATGCCTTGTCCTCTTTGCTTCAAGGTAAATGTATTTGTTCTGACACCCAATGATAGGTAGTCAATATTCTTTATCGAAATCTTAAAAGAATCAATTTTTCTTTGGTCTAATTTACTCATTACATGCAAGGTGACATTTTTGTTTTTTAACATTTTAAAGGTCTCTTCCAGAAGATCTGTCTAGTGCAATTTGATTTCTTCACTGTTGCTGCCTTGGCATTGATTGTGAATCCAAGTAAAATGAAATCCTTGATAATATCAATCTTTTCTCCAGTTAGTAGCACAGTGGAAGGGGGGAGGGAATGTGATAAAAATGAAGCAAGCCCAAAATTTCCAATTAATTTATTTAAATTCATTAATGTTGCAAAAAATATGATATGCAACAAATCAGGACACAAGTTTCTTGTATTCCTTAACAGGCCAAACAAAATAATTATTACAACTCTTTAAATAAAGATCAGTCCTAGTATTCCTCACAGGGACCATACATCAATATTTTACAGTTACCAGAACTGACTTCTTCAGACAATAAAATGACAATACTATTCTAGGCAATGTCATCTGAATAGTAGTAAAACGAACACAGTACATTAATTTTTGTGTACATGACGACAGCATGTGAATTTGCAGTAATGAAATACTTTTTAAATACTTTTAAAGTGCGCTAGTTTTTATCAAACTGTGAATTGTTCTACATGACTGATGAGCCCCAATGCTACCCCAATTTAGGGGTTGAATGCCACCTAACATTTATTAGCTAATTTTAAGTTACTATTTAAAGAGGATTAACTTTAGAATGTCCATATACAAAAAGTGCAGTGGAGCAGCAGATTGTTTTTAATGTTATTTTACATATTTCTCTGTGGCCAAATTGAATGTGAAACACAAAAACCTCTAAATGAAAAAAGATCCAGAAATTTAAAAAAAAAACCCCACAAACCCCAAATCTCTAAATGCACACATTTTAAACTTTTTGAAAATTATAAAATTAAAACAGCTTATGTGTAGCAAATGTTGGCCCAAACTTTTGGTCTGGAGCTTGCTTTGTTATCAAATGACCTTTAATAACATATCACTTTAAAAAAGTTTAGTTATCTAAACAACACAGTAGAAGATCAATCATATGTGTGTTTGTGTGTGTGTAAAGTACCACTCTTTACTGCTCTACACTGTGCCCAATTTCCAATTACTATTTTGAACTTTGAGTCCTTGGGATGGTGTGGACAGTTAATGTTTCAGCTACTAACTGAAAGGTTGACAATTTCACCCAGCGGCAACTCAGAGGAAAGGCCTGGCAATCTATTTCTGAAAACTCAGCCACTGAGCACAGTTCTACTCTGACACATGGCAACCAATATATAGAACCTGAAAAGAAAGTTACTTCACTGGGCTTTGTCAATGATTTGAATTATTCAGAATCTTGGGGAGGGGAGAGCTTGTAAAGGGTAACTCTTTCGATAACTCTGTACCAACTCAGTTATAGTGAGCTCCTTCCCTTACCAGTTGGTTTTCTCACAAAGTTGACTCCCCAGCAACTCAGTCTACATAAATTCTACTCTATAAACTCTCTGTAAGATTAGTTGGCCCAACTTTTATTAATACCTCTGTCTTGTTCTGTGATCTCTATTTTCAGCAAATCTCCCTTCTGATGGAGTGATGTTAATTATCCTTATAACTTTGGAAAGGGAAGACAGAACTATTACAACCATACCAAGCTGATTAGCAAATTGCTTCTTCTACCCAACAAATACAAAAACTAATTATCTGTTAATTTAATCTTAAAAAGCAGTTTCTACATGAAATAAAATACTCTTCCAAATTCCTCAAGCACTCACATAAAAAGTCAGATAGTAATGTTATGCAGTCATTTAAAGGAAGTATCTTATAAAAATGTGGATCCTTTAAGAATTTTGGAACTGCAGTTAAAGAAATCATAGCTACAGCTATACATACAGATTTCAGTACTTAATGCATTATACTAAATAGTGATGTACATGTTGAAGACTAAAGTTTACAAACCCTGAAATATATAAGTGCCCCAGTTCTGAACTTTCATTTTAACACTGTGCTTGTTGACTCCTCTATTCAAACTTGATTCTGTATGAAAATACAAAGCAGAAGAAACTCTGAATTCTTGGAAGCTAAAATATAATTTAGTTCAATATATTATCAGTCTTCCTCCACATCTCTTTATTCACATATTCTATATAGAGCCTGTCAGATTTTCTTGTTGCACTTAAATTGAGTCACATCTTAGATAACCAGCTCTTTACTCCCTTATAACTTTCCTTCTCTTACTGCCTTGTTTTATCTTCCTACTTAATTGCCTGGCCATACTTTACTAAATCCTAACTTTTTCATACTTCCTTCTGAGTTGGTTAACAGTGGAGTCAATATAGCGTTTTTCCTTGGTACTATTCAGGAACATATTAAGCAGAATATAGCACTGTACTGATTTAGATGAACACTTATGAGAAGAACCTTGAGTGAAAAACAGCACGACAACAACAACATAGCATCAGAAGCATCACATTAAATCCATTAAGTTAGATTCATGATCCTAGTGGAGAAATAATTCTATGTACTTTCATTATATTCAGTAATGAAAAGTTAAATGAGATGGAGGAAATGTTACACATAGTTAGAAATGACGGAGAGAGAAAAACTTAAATGCTCTAACCTACTAGTTTTACTGCAAAGAAACACTATGGTGCACTTCCCAACAGAAGATTCCATTAAGGTGTAGGCTAAGCAGATTTCCTTTTAACCCAGTGATTTATGGCACATCATTTTTGCTATATCTCAAATGTTTTCGTTTCCTCTAAATGTTAATGTTCTAATAGAATGGATAAAAAAAGAAGTTTTGAATCTTCATTAAAATCACAATAAAAAATTGTTTAAAAACACAAAAATTCAGAAACGTCAATTTCAGAAGTTGTATCTACAGTTAAGAACAATGATTGCACAAGCTAAAGCAATAAACTCAGAAAAGAGATGAAATTATTCATTTTTCAAACAGGAGTCATCTGGTAGGAAACTACCTATTAAAAAAATATCTCCACTTTAATAAGACTACAGATGAAAGACTACTAAATAAGATAGTCTACAAACATAAAATATAATCATAACTAAATTCAACTTCATTCCTTATTCATAATATAAATTCAGAAGGAATGTCAAGTTGTTATTGTTACTCTGCTTCAACATCAGTGTTTCTAAGTTTTGTACATGCAGTAATGATTTTGGCTTTATTCACGAAAACATATTAGTTCAGAATCTGCCTATAGGTGCTGAGTCCAGGATAAATCAGATGCCGCTTAGAGATCTCTCATGCCAAAAACAGCTCAACATCTCCAATGACTGAATTTAAGCATACCAAGTCCATGACTGATAACAAAAAGTAAAGGAAAATTCTCTTTTGTAACAGAAACTCCATTAGTAAGAAAAGCAATGGAAAAAGCCATGTGTTGATTCTGTCTAGAATAGAATCTGAAAAATTTTGCTCACATCACTTTAACTTTGCCATGTTAGGCCAATTTAGGTCTGTAAAATATTTTCTTGGAAGGGCTGGGGAGTAGTGTGCTTGGAGAACATGATAGTTATCAAAAGTATATGGATCCAAGTGTAAAGACACAATGCCAGATTATTAGTTGATGTATATTATTGAATTCAACAGCCCTACCCTGTGGTAAAGCTGTAGTTTTAGAATGACCTTTATGGGCATTTAAGTTTATCTGCTTACCAAATTAAACAAGAATGTGCATGTTTGTATCACATGCATCATCAACAACAGCACAATGTACATATGCTCTATGACTTTACAAAGTTAAACTAATTTACATACTGTCATACATGATTCAACAGAAATGTAAACCAACCATATCTGACTAGATCAAAGTACTATTTACAGTGAACTGAAACGGAAGTATTTTGGTAAAGTGCCCACATTGAGAGCAGTTTAAAAAGGAGCCCTTGTTGTCTACAGAAAAGAGTGGTGACGGTAAATAACTTCATCACATTCTCTACAATACTACATACACAACACTCATTCCAATTCAAGGAAGTGATATCCTGGGCACACAGCTTATTTTACATTAGTGAATAAGTCTAAGATTTTGAGGAGGTTCTGACTTTGGGCCAGAAGAGAAAATGTTCCACATATACACGTACACAGACACTTCAATTCCAAATTTCTTCAGTTGTCTAGTTCCGAAGGTGTCTTTTTGACTTGTCATTAAGTTTAATAAAGAAAGAAGGTGTGCAGTGCACTTGTATTCGAGCTTTTGAATTAAGGAACAATATACATTTAACAGAAAAAAAAATAATTAGGATAGTACTAATCTATTTAAATATATACATAAAAAAGATCTTTGGGCATTAATGAGAGCTAGTTTAACTGTCTTTCATTTATTAGCAACTTAAATGTCTAATTTACCCAGGAAATGTATTTAACCATTTACAAAATGAAATTTCTAAAATTCACTTTACAAAATCATGGTCTTATTTATCTGCATATTTTTTCACAAGTATACATTAAAATATTGCTCAAAACCATAAAAATATATATTATATCTTTCCTTTATCATTTATGTATATAAATATTTTACTGAAGATGTATCATTCAATAAAATGCAAGAACTGCTTTGTATCATGTGTGGTTCTGATATTGCAATATAAAATACAAAATGAGTACAGTATAATTAGCTATTAAAGAGCTAGATTGAATAAATTTGCAAACTAATACAGCAGTGAACAGTCTCTTGTACAAAGTCCAGGAACAAAAAGTCAAGTCAACTTTAATAGGTTACATAAAAATAAAGGTCAATAAATGCATTATAAATGCCAAAAACAAACAAAGCATTGCTTCATGAGTATCTTCTTCAGTCTTGTTTGGAACTGAATGCCAAACTTAATGTTCACTTTTTGGTTCATCTTGTCTTCCGTTAAGCTCCTGATCAACTCTGTTAAAAACAATATAGATAATGAGATATCAGCAACTCAACATTTCTCTATAAACATGATTATTTGTGGGCACAGAATATAGTATTCAGTTAAAAACAAAATTTGCAAAGAAGCAAATGCAGTACAAAGGTTACAAAACATCATTTCCCAAACCAGAAAGAAAATTTAAAGGCAAGAGGATGTTGGCAAGAAATTTAACTCTCTTTTTATGTAAAAATAATAAATCATCTTATAGTACAATTGGCATATTAAAATGCTAAATTAGGTTAGCTGGGGAAGAGATCCAAGTGGTAAGAGAAATTGGCAGAAAAAACAATGCATTAAAAGATAATTCTATTGATTAAAATAATAAAAGAGGCATGGAAACCACCAAGCTATGAATACTTTTAAATTCAAGATAAAAAATGCATTTACCTAGAAAACATAACCATTCTCCAAAATGTATGTAAAGAGTAAGAATGTGAATACCTTTCACTTGTTTTTTTTTTTACCTTTCACTTGTTTTGAAAATAATAATTATATAACATTTTGAATATCTAGATGAAGATTAAAAATCTGAGTGAAATTAGTGATATGTTGTAAGAGGTCATTCTAAAATTTAATGAAAATTATATACATTTTACATCCAAATATAGATATCTTTTCAAAGACAGTATACATCAATTTCTCACTATTATACTTTTAGCCACCTGAATTATTGACAGGGGTATATAAAGGTCTGGTATGACAGATGAAGGTACTTTTCACATTGGTTTCCATTACAGTGATCGTCATTAATGCATAAGACCTCATATCCTTGCCTGCTTCATCATTTAAAACTATTCTTATAATGACATTATGAAATATCATTATACTCTTGATATGAAATCTCGCCATTTACTCTATTTTCAATATCTCAAATATCCTTAATATAATTAAACTTTTTTTTTTATGATGAGAAAAATTTATATTTAGAATTAGCCCACTGGACTCAGTTTAGATGATCCCAATTTTGTTGGCAACATCCAAAGCATCATAATCAGGAGCAAGTCGAACATAGGCCTTCTTCTCTCCATCAGGCCTAATCAAAGTGTTGACCTTAGCCACATCAATGTCATAGAGCTTCTTTACAGCTTGTTTAATTTGGTGGTTATTGGCCTTGACATCCACAGTGAACACAAGTGTGTTGTTATCTTCTATCTTCTTCATAGCTGACTCAGTGGTCAGGGGAAATTTGATGATGGCATAGTGGTCAAGCTTGTTTCTCCTGGGGGCGCTCTTCCGGGGGTATTTGGGCTGTTGTCGGAATCTCAGTGTCTTAGGCCGCCGGAAGGTGGGTGACGTGTGGATCTTCTTTTTTTTTGGCTGTGGACGCCCTTCAGGACTGCCTTCTTGGCCTTTAATGCCTTTGCTTTGGCTTCAGTTTTGGGAGGGGCAGGGACTTCCTTCTTGGCTTTCGGCGCCATCTTCGCAGAAAAGCTAAACTATTTTTAAGTTTAGTTGAATCATTTAAAAAATTGTTTGTCTGGTCACATAGTATGTTTGCTTAATGAACTATAGAAAACATTTAAAACTATTATACTACTATCATTAGTTTTATATCCCTCCATATCACCAGTAATCAAAAAGGAAATTTCACCGATGTAAGCTCATTCACACTTTGCCTCTGTTAAGTTTTGGCTTGAAAAAAAAAAATGCCTCTTTATTAAAAAAAGATAAAGTGACTAAAAGACAACAAAAAAGCCCCAAAAATGCAAGACAAAATAGGAATGGTAGGTTATCAAACAGCAGGTTTAAGTGAAAGGTACAATGAGTTCCATTTTAAAATGTTTTGGCCCTAAATTAGTCTTGATACATGATTAAATACTTAAGTCTTTTGGCCAAGTGGTAAGAAGTGATGCTGCAATCCAAAGGCGTGTGTTTTTTAAATCCACCTGCAGCTTCTTTGGGGAAAGCTGGGCTATTTTCTCCCAAGTGATTTACTGTGTTTTGGGGTTTTTTTTAAAGTACTACACAGTTCATCAAGAAAACAATTCCCCTAGGAAGGGATGAGAAACCAGCCAAATCTAAAAATCATTGTTAAATATGTTGGATAAACTGTAAAGTGTGATACAAAATTGTATTCAAAGTCAACAAAGTCCCAGTTACAGCTTGATTCCTCAGCATTGTCAAAATGGTAAAAACTATACATAAATCTCTCTCACCTTCACTCTTAAGATAGATTGTATCAAGTTAATAATGCTTTGACACCAGAGCTATTTTTAAACCCATTAGCAAATTACATCTAAATCCAACATTTTTATAAATTGCAGTATAAAATAGCAACTATTTTAAACCCTTGCTTTTCTTCTATGCCAAGATTTAAAAAGTAAAAGTTTGTTATGCTCAAAGCAGAATTAAACTTAAAATGGAAAGCAGAGTGTTTAACTGTTAAATGGCACGTTGATCTTTTAGGTATTTTATCACAGTAGAATTTGGCTGGTTAGCAGAACATTTACTTTAAGCATTTGAAGACATTAACATTAGTTAGCCAAAGAACATATGCATTGCAAATATAATCATCAACCCCAGGGAAATGAATTATAATCCCTTAAAAAAAGTCTGCATAAATATTTCAAAGGTAAGAAAGATAATGCTGCAGACAGATACAGCCTTAAAAGTATTTTTATTGTTTTAAACAGTATTCTTAGCAACTTTTTTGATACTACCTTTCATATTTATATCAAATAGAAGGAGAGTAAAGGCTGTGGTCTCTAATGCCTAATTACTGTTATATGTAGTCCTAAAACTGAGTGGATCCAGGTCATATTGAGCATAAGAAACCTTGGATACACTTTTTCTTTTCATTAACAAATTTAGACACTGGGGTGTCTTTATATTTACATATGCTATTATCTTTGTCTACAAGCTAAACAACCAGTAAGGAAGAGTTAGTCTGTGCAATGCAAATAGACTAGTCTAGACGTAACCCAGTCAAGGTGTGCATATACCTTTTTTGTTTCTTTTTTAACTTTTCTTCTTCATACCTTGGTAGGGAAGAGTTATTTCAATAAATAAACATGTTATAAAGATGAATAAAACTTACCAAACAGGCACTAAAAATAAGCTCACAAATGTTTGAAAGCAAAACCAAAATTACATATATTATATATCAACGTAAAAACTTAATAAATCTAAAACTTCTGATGAACAGAGCAAACGAATTTTTCTATGTAATACTGTGATACTCAAGTACTTGAAAACAGCCCTATACCAAGTCCTTTCTAAAGTTAGATGTACATGTTGTAAACAGAATAAATTCTGGCCACTGGGAAGTATTAAGCATTAAGTATTAGGCAACATAAAATAGTATTTCTTTAGTAAGATATGGTTCTTTGATGGCAAGCTGAGTGTATTCAAATTTGGAGAGATATGTTTTCAAGTATTATGTATACTCTTCTGTGTTGACCAGTTAGGGAATTAGCTCAGACTAGAGGGTGAACCCTGTGAGTTAGATGAATTGTACAGAGAGTCTTGCTATGGACTATACCACCAAACTTCCTAGATTATCAAATGACTTTTACTATAGCTAACTAGTCACATGTATTGTCTTAAAAAAATTAAATAAGCCACAGTTAGAAATAATTTCTTCCAGTTCTTCAACTAAAGGATGAAGAAATGGTGACCTTATGAGGAAGCAGCTTCTAATTTTAGGAGAGTGTCAGGAAAAGATTTCTTCCCCTTTTTTCTTTATTATAAAAGAAAGGAAAGAAGTTCTTGAATATTTACAACAGATGAAGTGAAAAATACTTATCTCTTATATAACAAATTATATAGGTCCAAGACAAGTAAACAAAAGAAAACATACTGTTTTATGCATTCTGGTATGCCGACATATTCCATGGGGACAAGTTCTGCTAGTTCTGCCAGATTAAAGACGTATCTAATTTTTTGGCTGAATTTTGAGCTATGGAAAAACGTAAAAAATAATTACCTCAGTATTTCTGATTAACAGAACTGATAAGAAATTTATACAAGAAGTTTTGTTTTCTAAAAAATTACCTAATAAATGGTCTTGCAACAGCCAGAAGTGTTCTGATAAACCAAGAAGGATGCACAATAATGACAGATTTTAGGTTTTTCCGTAACCTGGAGTTAAAAAGAAGAAAAATTAAGACTTCAGTATGTCTGTCCTATCCATGAGTTCTCAACCAGCTCTCAATGCAGTATTCACAGAGGAAGAAAACACACACTTGAAATAAACTTCACTTCATTTTTCCAATTTGTCCATGTTATTAAATGTTCCCTAATATGGTATGTTTTCAAGACTGTCATCTAAAGGTACAGGACAATACTCAATACAGAACAAGCGAGCCCCATTTTTCAAGACTGGAAGGTACTAATCTTTCTAATGTGAGGAAATGCACTGTACAAGCAGTGGTAGGAATGGACAGGATCACAGGAACAAGACACTATGAATCTACTTAAGGAGTTTGTAACTTCATTGAATAGTATGATTATTTAAGAAGAGCTCCTATCTTTGGAAAAAACATATTGAAATATTTGAAACAAAACAATGTAAGTCTGAATTTTGTTTCAAAATAATTTGGAGGATGGGGGGAAATATTTTCCTAGGCCTCTTCTTTTTTAAATGACAAAAAAAAACCCCAAACCAAACCACTTTTTAAAAAAATTTTACTTCATGCAAAAAATAAAGTTATATATTAAGGATTCTTCCCACCCACCTAATCACAAGCATTGCCTATGTCTTATTATGGAACTTATTAATGAGTCTGCACTCAAACAAATTTAAATAACAACAGCCAAAACAAATCAAATAGAAGATCCCAGATCCTTCTATGATCATGGGTGCTTAACTCTCAGGTGAATAGACCTTAGAACTTGTTCTAAAAAAACTGCAGTTAAACAAAAACGCCTGAAACATGCGGTACTGTATAAATTAGGCAAGAATGCAATACAAGAAAATGTAATAAATTCTCTAACCTTTAGTATTCAATGTGGTATGTAATTAAGGAGAAAGAATGTCTCTAATTTCTTAAAAAAGATAAAAATTTCTTTCTTTCAGATATTCTAAAATATGTTCTGAGAAAATAAAAACCTATTATGAAATGAATAAGTGCAATGAAGGAAGTAGATGGACACATGAGTTCAAGTGGTAACAGAAAATACAATTTAATCTATTAAGGCCAATATAAAAATAATTCAAACTGGCCTTCAACTTACATTTACATACCTTCTATCAATTTGCTGATAGCATTTCCTGAGCCATCCCAGACTGGGCATTTTTCTTCGAGTTGTTGCACCATTTAAGTATACAATCATGTAATTTTCTGCTACTAACAGCTCCAAAGTGCCTATAACATATCTACAAAAATAATTAACATTAAATAAAAATCACCAAATCCAATGGGGTAATTTCCATATACAATTTTCAAAATGATAAATCTTTATGGAAGCAGGCGCCACATCCCTTGTGAAGCAGCTAACTAGCTCAGACCACTAACTACTGTTAGCAGATGAGTTTTAACCACTGTGCCATCAAAGCCCAAAACCAATCCCATTGCAATTGAGTTGATTCTGCTTCCTGACCTTCCATCAGGGTTTCTAAGGTTGTAAATCTAGGGACAGCAGAATGCTGCATTTTTCACCTGAGGAGTGGGTTTAGATTAGAATCACCAATTTTACAGTTAGCAGTCCAATATAAATTACCATATACATTATACTACCAGGACTCAAATTATGTTTAAGCCTTAAATAATGTTATTAAAAAAAAATAACACTGTACAGAATTTAACTAGGTTCTCTAGCTTATACAACTCCCTTCCCACCTCAATCAAAACAACCAGAAGTTAAGCTGGATTGCAGCTTTACTGGGGAAAAACAAAACAAAACAACAACTATTAAGATTTTAATACCTAAGTAAAACAGTATGATAAAAAAGAGAGTTCTTGTATTTTAAAGATAAACAGTAAAATGTTTACAGATGAAATGGTTTCATGTCTTGGATTTGTTGCTAAATACTACAGTAGGGAGAAGAAGAAAAATCAGGAATTAAATATAAATTGATTACTGTGGAAGCTGAGTGAGTGATGTACAAGCATACCAACACAGTTCTATTTGTCTTTTCGGCCTAATGCACTCAACATGACGCTAGAATAAAAGTAATTTCTGTAGTTTAGGGTTTCCTAAAGTGTAGAATAAAGGCACTGGAGCACAAGTGAGACAGCTTTCCACTTTTAGAACCTGACAATTTTTCTGTAGCTTGAGTTACAGGTTAAGTTTCATAATGTCAAGGAATAAAGATCTAAAGAATTACAACTCAAATATTTATCCTTTTTTAACTGCTAAAGTTCATTTCCTTAAGTTGGAGAGTTAATTAGCTTAGGATTCTGCACAAACATTTTTGTGACGATGTACTTACTTAAAGAGATTGTCCATCAGGTATCTATAGTTAGGTTGACTACTTTCAGGCATAAAACAGACAGCAAATACAACAATTGCATTTAATCCATCACCATAATATCCTGTGAGAAGAGGAAAGGAAACAAAACTATCAGCATTATTTTGCTCAGAAGACTTTTTAGAAGACTATGATCAATAGATTATAATGATTTGTCTTCCACAAACTTGCATGAAAACAGCAGGGTTTTTTACTTTATATAGTCTCACACAGATCTGTAAGCCAACTCTTCCCAAAAAGGGAACAAAATTTGAAGGCAAACACGTATCTAAACTGGCATAAAGTCATTCTTAGTATAACATAATAACCTAATAAGATACAACCAATACCCGAATTTTATTATGTAGCCTTATATAACTTATAGTAAAAGGGTGATTTTTAAAATATTCAACAATGCAGAGCCTTCTGCAGAACTTAAGATATTAAAACTAAGAAAGGATTAGCTATCTCTTGGTCATTTTAAATGAAAAATCATTCTAAAATGTGTATTTAAATTACAATCTGTAGTTGGTAAGATGCATTCAAGAACATATTTTTGCTTTGATCTTTAGTTCTTCTGTAAGGCTTTAACATTTCAAATATATTAGAATTTTTACTATCTTTATCTCTCAGTTATAAGACATATTAAATATGAAACTCCAATAGGGTAACGTAGTCTTAACTATATTCTCCCAAAAGAAATAAAGTGCCAATTCTCAAAGATAGTAATTTTAAACCATAAAAGTCTCACAATTTGCTTTCTATAAACTGGCTGAACGAATACCTGTGGACTTCTTAATCCAGATTACTATTTCCTTCCTCTGAAAACAACTAGGGAGAAGAATGTGACTTTCAGTACTCAAGCATTTGCCTTCAGATGAATGATGATTGTACAAATAAGCAGGAGAATGCACTCAGCAGAAGGTAAATTAAGTGGAAATGATTACATAGTAAAACAAACAAACAAAAAACCCAACAGTCTGCTTAACCTATGTATCTCTCTATTCTTTTTTAGGAGGACTTTGGGGAGTATAACATACTGTGAGTTGTCCCCACAACTTTTTTTAAACAAAACAAAAACTACCATGTTTAAAAAATTTGTCAAGAAAAAAGGGAAATATGTTTGTATATATTACATCTCTCAACATTTTTAATCAGTTGCTGTTTTTCACTAAGGAATGTAGTCTGTAGAGAGTTGCACTGCAACCTGCTAAAGGCAGCTCCTCTTTGGTCATTCCAATCTACCAGTAGCACCTTGGGAGAAAGATGGGCAATTTCCTCCTGCGCAATTAATTTACAGTCTCCTAAAAACCCGCTGGAGGGTTAGCTATGAAGGCAATGAAGTAGCGAGTGAGCATTTTGGCTGTTTACACAGTGACTAAGTAAGCTTCTATACCACAATGAAACTAACAGAAGCTATAACATATTTGATTGATTTTCCTAGTTTATATATAAATTTCTTCATCAGAAATCATGTCATATGTCCCCAGATAACCCTACAAATAAGTGCCTCACAAAAATGTGAAATGAGCCAGTTCTCTATTTTGTGGCAAAGTTAGTATAAGATTTTAAACTAAACTAAGAGACATATTAAAGGAGCTCTAGCAGTCTACCAGGTAAGAAGCTCTGAGCTGTGTTGCCAACCCAAAGGGATGAGGTTTAAATCCACCAGCTGGTCTAAGAGAGAAAGATGGGTAATCTTTCCCCATGTGATTTACAGCTTTGATATATCCACTGGGAGATGTCAGCTATGAGTTGGATCCAATATGACACCACATAACGAAGGACTGATTTAAAAAGGTAAAAATTTTACTTATATCCACAATATACAAAAACTCATACAAGAATACTATGCAACACTTAGGAGCAATGATTTTGAAAAACAGTAAGCAACTTGGGAGATACTGCTTAAGACCACTATTGTAAAGATAAAAAGGTAACTGGTAAAACATGTATGGGAACCCAAGGAGGTAGGGGGTGGGCGTGAAGAGCTAAGGATGGGCGTGGTGAAACGAAAAGGTTGTGTAGTTTGGTGGCGGAAGGGAGGGGGGAAAATAAATGGGAAGGATCCAGGTGAAAAGACAGGATAATGATGGGTAAGGTCCAATGAAAATTAACTTTATAAAACAAAATGCATGAGAATGATTATATAAAACACAATATGAATGAGGAATAGTGTGAAACACAATGTATATGAACTTCAGAAGCAAAGCAATTTAAAAAAAAACCCCAAGAAACCTGGTACAAGAATGTTCACAGCAATTTTCTTTGTAATAGCAAAACTGAATACATCTTGAGTATCTAGTAGGAGGGCAGATAACCAAATTGTAGTTTAGCTATGCAATGAACTATCACTCAGCAATAAGGAATGAACTATGTATACATGCAACCACATGGATGAATGTAAAAAATATGAGTAAACAAAAAAAATGAGTAAACAAAAGAACACATACTATAGATCTCATTTACATCAACTTCCAGAGAATGCAAAATTAATCACAGAAGTAGGCATTAGGAAAGTAGTTACTGGCTTGAGTAAATCACTAAGAAATGATGAGACTACATTCTGGCTCAATACAAATGTTCTGAACAACTGATCTCCTATTGGAGCAAGAAGAGTGAAGAAAATCAGACACAAGGAAAAAAGAATTAATCCAAAGAACTAATGGGCCCTAGGAAAAATAACCTGCCTGCCTACCACTCTCAACTTCTCTGACTGGGCTCTGTATGAGATATATCAAGAGAAGGTCATAGATAAAGTAGGAGAAAAATGTAGAAAAGAACTAAAAAAAAATCATATTAAAAAAAAAAAAAAGGACCAGACTTGGACATATGACAGAAACTGGTGGGATCCCAAGACTGCTCTTTGGATACCTGAATTCACCTCCATGTATCAATTTCCAGCCAAATAACAGATGTATTAGTATGGTGATTATCAGGAAGGGAGGTATATTTATAACAATCAACCATATGAGACAGATGGGCATTTGCTCAGGGTTAAGGCTTAGAAGACAAGAAGATATAGAAAAGAAGGATGAATAGAATTAGGAAATATTGGGAAAAGTGGGAAGGATGTTGCCACATGGTGGAATATGTAATCGGTGCCAAGAAACAAAGATGTATATATTGTTGATTGGAAAACTGATCTGCAACTTTCACCCAAACCACCACAAAAAGTTAAAGGGGAAAAAGAAATTTCAAACAAGAAGGTGTAAAAATATTTCTGTAACTTTAGTGTGGGATATACTATACCGGCATTTGTCAAAACACACTTTAATGTCTATAGAGTACACTTAATAAAAAAATCAAAGTCCCAGTCTGGGGAGACTTAAAGTTAGGAGTAGAAGAGAGTTTCCCCTGCATATTATACTTTAATATCTTTTGAATTTATTATGTGCATCTGGCAAGAATTAAAAATTATGAGTTTTATCCTTTACTTCAAACCCGCTTTGTTACTAAAATGATAGGAGGATTTTTTATTATTCTTTCAATATTATATAATCTCTCAAAGGAGATTCTCTATATTCTTGTATTGCATTAAAAAATCCACATGTTCTTTGGTAACTCTTACCTCCATGGCTGATAACTTTTTTATAGGGTTCAATGGCTTTCATGTCAACCCTGTGGTCCTGTTCTCCAATTCTGAACAAACGCCAGCGCCGTCCATCTTCTTTTTCCTCGGCTTCTGTGTACTCAGTAATCGAGTCTTTCCTAATTATTTCAGTAGTTTTCAGTTTTGGAAGATCATCTGTAAAATAAAAGGTTTTTAAATCACAAATTGTTATTTTCACAGTAAAGATGAAATCAAATGCTAACCACTTTACTATCTAATTAGATTAGTCAAAATACTTTTTATTATACCATCTGTAGAATTTTAAATGCTTTTTTTAATAATAAGCTTGATCTTAATAGAAGGTCATTTTATGTCTTTTGGAAATTATTCCAAAATTCTATAACTTTTTTTTTTACAGCCTGATTTGGCAAAACATCTACTCACAGTGCAATGATTATTCATAAGTTCACATAATTCATATAACTCTCAGAATCTTAGTATAACGGCTTTGTAATGTCTATCTAGATTCTATTTTCAAGCCAGTTTGTTCTTGTGGAGCATACAATTTTTTCTCCAAACAGTGTAATATCAGATAGAAAGTGGTTAACCAGTAATAATCATTCATTATTTGATCAGTAATATAAAGCAGCAATTTATTTCAAATATGCCAAAGAGCACATGCAAAAAGTATAAATTTAAATCAACATTAGCCATAAGCACCAGTATTTAGGTGTAATATGATTGCATTTTAGCAGATTTTTAATGAAGTAATGATTTTCAGAATTTTAGCATCAGTCCTTACCAAAAGATGGGGGGAGGGAAACCTACTGCATGTTAGTTGTTTGTTTCCAAGACAAAGTTGTTAACGGAAAATATCCTTCCAGGAAATGACTACAGTAGCATTAAAGAAAGAAGAGACAAAACACAGGCAGAAAACTATTTCAGTATCTTTATAAAATATTGCTTATTACTGGAATGCTTACTGAACCGGCAGGGAGAAAAAGGTACAAAACATGTATCAAGAATCTTACTCTTTTATTGCAGATACCTACTGCTAAACACTGCTTTAAGAAAAAAGTATTTTAAAGATGTAATTTATAGAAATTATTTGCAACTACAAATATAAAGATATTTGTAGACAGCAATTATCTTGAAGAAAGCATGCAAAGTAACACAAATGCCCATTCCTGTGAGTGTCAAATAAATAAGGAATTGGGGATATCTGGTCCTTAAGCCTTCTTATGGAGTAGTGCTATTAACCCAAAGGTAGTGCCTCTCTGACCATTTGAATCCACCAGCATCTCCAGTGGAGAGAGATGGGCAATCATGTCCCTTGCGACTTATAGCCTCTCAAAATGCACCGGAGGGTCAGCTATGTGTCATTTTTGACTCTATGACAAGAAATGAGTGAATAATAAAGAATTAAGGTTTGGGGCCACTAGGGTATATTAGGGAAGCTTTGATGGCCTAGACCACAGGCAATTGTGCTGAGCCAAAGTCTATGCTTCTGTGGTGCTGTGAGTCTACAAGCAGCTCCAAAGGACAAAGATGGGTGATCTCCTTCCATGGGATTTATAGTCTTAGAAATCCAATACAGAGCCAACTAAGGGTCAGCTCCAACTTGAAGGCAATTCATTTTGGGTTTGCATAAATTAATCTTTTCACAAAATAAAGCATCATCAGGCAAGTCTATTAAGATTCCTAAAAACTTTCTTTCAGATTTCATATCCTGAAATTTTTAACTAATTTTAGAATATTCACTAAATGTCTTTTTAAAGGTTGCTGCTGAAAATAAAAAAGGATTCTACCCCACAGCCCCCTTACTGGACTAAAGAAAAGATTGTAATTATTAAGTAATATTTCTGAAGCAGCCACGAACAAAATTTACAGCACTGGCGTAACTAAGGGGAGGGGAGAAGGTGTTTTGAAAGCCATGAGAATGTTTAGTTTTAGCAGAATTTCTTATCTTAGCAGCAAATGCATAAACTTTAGAAAGAACAACTTATTTTAGGCAGTATCTCTTAATATTTTATTTTAGTTGGTCACATGACCAAGTTTTCAAAGTTTCCTGACATGAGAATGCCACTGGGGGTGGGGGGGAATATATATATATATAATGACACTCATAAATGAGAATCCAATGAAAACAGTGAAGCACTTACCTTCCCATTCAAACTCATTGCTGTCCTCGGATGGTGTATCTAAGCCATCCAAGTCAATCTCTACACTTTCATCCAAATCATCTGACAACACAGAGTCATCACTAGGATCAAGCGTCAGGCTAATGTCTGGGGCCGTTAGTTTCTTTCTTACTTTATTTCCATTAACTTCCACAGAGTCTGAAATAGAATACAAAGTGAAGATACATTAGAAGGAATGCTTACATCATCATGCTGAATGACAAAAAAAAAATAACCTGTTTTTAGTAAAATAACATTAATTAAACACAACTCTGAGGTACTAGTTAATCCATAAATTTTAATCACTACTGCTTCTTTATCAAGGTAAGAGATCAATAAGTGATTATAGTAAGGTGGTTGTTGTGTACTACAGAGTAGGAACCAACCCATTGCTGACCCTCCAGAGGGTTTTCAGAGGTATTTAATTTCAAGGGAGGGGATTGCTCATCATTCTCCACAGAGTAGCTGGTGACCTCGAACCACGTGCCTTCGGGATTGTAGCACAACTTCTTGCCACTAGGCCACCAGAATATATAATAAGGTTATGTATCTTTAAATATTAGAGGCAAACCTTGTAGTTAGCTCATTCACTACTGAAAATGACTATTCCACCATTACTGTTTAAATTTCATAAAAACCAAAGATCTGTTTTTAGAAGTTCAACTTTCAAAAATATCTCAAGCATTAAAAAATGCTTGCCTAAAAGTTCAATTTATCCTCTGACTCCCTGTAATTGAATAAAGAGAGTATTTTTTTTCCCTTTGGGAAAAAGATATGAAAAAATGTGTAAAATAACAGAACTGGAAGTCTATCCTCTCACTGAAAATATCAAGTTCTTACCAGGTTCGTTCTCCGGTCCTGTTACAGGTAGTATATCTGCATCAATACTATCATCTTCTGGTAAAGGTCTAGAAAACATACATACATATACTTTCACATACACATGCTTTTAAATAAAAGTATTTTTTTAAAAAGAAAAATTTTTAAAAATTAGAAATTCAATGTTTTTAAAAACAGCTTCTATAACTGAATAAAATAGCAATTTTTAAAAACCTCATACTGTCAAAGAGTTCAGTTATAATGTATTTAACATAAAGTAGATATAAATTTTTGAAGTGATGCATGAAAGTAGATATAAACTTTTTCCAGGATGTCTTTTAACCTCAGTGGCAAGGAAGTATCTTTTAAGTCAGCCATTTTTCTTTTTCCTATTAACTCAACTATAAATACAAATGTAAGCACGTGTTAAAGTGATTGGTGAGATCTTGGAAAATCCTTGTTTATTTATTTAAAAAGCATTATCTTTAAATAAAACCACACCATTTTCAAATCCCACAGGGAGTTAGTTGTACTGCTAACACCAAGAGAAGAGTCTCTATAGTGTTGCAATCCACCAGCCACTCTATGAGAGAAAGACGGGCAATCACTTCACTGCGATTTAGTCTCAAAGAGAACCTGCTGCAGGGTCAGCTATGAGTTAGAAACGACCAGAGAGCAATGAGTTAAAAGTTTTGACTTGTGATAACTAAAAACTCCATTTCTTCACAGGTTATCTCTCAGATTCCAGTTTCAGAAATGCCTCATTAAGGCATTGTTAGCAACAGCAGAAATTTTCAAATCACAGGGTTGCACAATTTACTAGTGGAGGGAGATCCTAAAGGAAAATAGGAAGGATCTGGCAGGGAGTTGAAAAGACGAGGTAATTGTAGGCATAGTTCAATGGGGATTAATTTTACAAAACACAACACAGGGGAATGATTGTATGAAACACAATGTGAATGAAGGAAAAGTGTGAAGCACAATGTATATGAATTTTGCACACTAATAGAAAATAATTTTTTTTTTAAAAAATGAAAGATCATAAATGATTACATAAATATGTGGTTGGATAGTAAGATAGAATTATTCTAACTACCAGAAAATAATCTTCATTGCCTAATATTCAAATGATCACTGCATAATTCTAGGCTTCTCTAAGAAACTCAATAATCATTTAGTAAGTGACATTTTAATTGGAAAATTTAAAGTTTAGCTCTAAATTTGTTTTTGTTAGACAACACTGCTCACATAGGAAAATCTTCATCTTGCCATTCTTCCTTAAGTTCTACACCATCCATCCTCAGCCTGGCTTCAATGTCAACTACAAACTCTTGATAATCCAGAGAGCCAATGTCCTGTGAAAAAGAGAGCAAAATTTATAATTAGCAACTTATTTTTTACTTTCTTTTTATTGGGCAAAAAGGCATAATAGTACATACACACCTCTACCCTATTAGACAGTGAGCTTTAGGCTCAATAGTCTGGTATCTAAATCAATTTATTGAGTTGCAATCATCACTTTTTCTCCTGTTTATAGTACTTTTTAAATTGCTGAGTGAAAATATTTGGTTTCAGTTGCACACTGCATGTCAAACTGAGATCAGCAGTAGAAGGTGGAACCCTCACTACCAGAATGCAGAGAAGATACTGCACTTAATTTCTGGACAGATTCCTGCACCACCAGTTGATAAACACTGACATGAAGGCAGCAGCAGCCTCTGTGGAGAGAACCAGGGTGACATGAGACAGAACTGACTTGAGACTGCTTGTTGCAGACTTAGGGTAAGGTAATAATGAGACAGACAACACAGAATGAGATAAGACAGAGTAAAGACAGGGGGCCAGCAGTCCTGATGATGGAAGGGCCCAAGCTGTGCCTCTCTGTGTATTTACTGAGAATCATCAGGAAGGTAAACAAAGGATAATCACAAGGGAGTTGTTGTTATGTGCCATTGTGAGTCCTTTGCGACTCATAGTCCTGTGCCAATCGCATTGCCTCTGACACACCCATCCCAATTACCCCAGTCACTGAATCAATCCACCTCACAGAGGGTCTTCCCTTCCTGCGCTGTCCCTCCACCCTACCAAGCATGATGTCCCTCTCCAAGGACCTGTCTCTCCTTACAACATGTCCAAAGTATGCCAGACGAAGCCCCAGAATCCTTGCCTCCAAGGAGTGGCCTGATTTAACCCTCTCCAGGATGAATCCGTTTGTTTTCCTAGCAGTCCAT